CGCGAGGACCGACTAGTTGGCGCGATGGCCGATTTTTGCAGAACGTCGGTGCGAGGACCGACTAGTTGGCGCGATGGCCAGTTTTTGCAGAACGTCGGCACGAGGACCGACTTGTTGGCGCGATGGCCGGTTTTTGCAGAACATCGACGCGAGGACAGACTAGTTGGCGCGACGGTCGACTTGGCATTATTGATAATACTTTTTAAGGTATATCGCATTCCATGGATATCGTTGGGGTGTGTCGTCTTGATACTCCAACCGGTAGGCCCCATGGGGCAGCACTTGGCTTATTCTGAAGGGTCCTTCTCACTTCGTTTTTAAGGGGCCAGGATTGGCCCCTGTTAACTTTTTGTAGGACCAAGTCGCTAACTCGGTAGGTTTTGGGTTTTAGCTTAGAATTGACGTACCGCTTGCTCCTCTGTTTGTAGGCTGCGTTTCTGAGCTCGGCCTGCGTTCGTAACTCTTCAACCAAGTCGAGGTTCATCCACAAGTTATCGTCGTTTTGATCTTATGTGAAATTTTGTACTTGGTAGGTCGGCGAGCCGAGTTCCACGGGGACCATGGCTTCCGATCCATATGCCAAGGAAAACGGTATTTCTCCCGTCGACGACCTTGGGGACGTCCGATACGCCCACAGGACACCCGACAGCTCTTCTGGCCAGGCTCCTTTCGCGGCCTCAAGTCGTACCTTGAGACCGTTCTTAATCAACTTATTCACAGCTTCAACTTGGCCATTCCACGGAGGATGATATGGAGTCGAGAAATAGTGTTTGATGCCATGTGATGCACATAATTCTTCCAATCTTTTCCCTTCAAACTGTCTTCCGTTGTCGGTTACGATTGAATTGGGCACACCGAAACGACATATTAGCGACTTCCAGAGGATGTCGATCATTTTTTGCTCGGTGATGGTTGCTAACGGTTCTGCTTCCGCCCATTTGGTGAAGTAGTATACCGTGACAACAGCGAACTTCACTCCTCCCTTTCCGGTCAGCAATGGTCCTATCAGGTCAATCCCCCATTTGGCGAATGACCAAGGGCTCACAATCGATATGAGCGGTTCCGGCACAAGGTTCCTGTTAGGCGTGAATATCTGACATTTGTTGCACCTTCTCACCCAGTTGGCGACGTCCCTTATGAGCGTCGGCCAATAGTATCCTCGTCGGAGGATTTTGTAGGCGAGGGCCTGGCCCCCGAAATGGCTTCCGCAGATGCCATCGTGGATCTCTTGAAGTACGAACACTGACTCTTGTTCTGTCAAGCATTTTAGAAGCGGGACCGAGTACCCTCGTTTATAGAGTAATCCTCGGTCTAGGGTGTATCTTGCAGCTCGTGTTCGCAGCGATCGTGCTTCTCGGGGATCTTGGGGCTGTGTCCCCGACTCTAGATATGCAATGATAGGGTCCTCTCGTTTGTTCCGACCTGGTTGATTTGGGAGGCCGATGTGGATGGTTTCTCCTGACTCCCGACCTCAACATACTCCAAGTCCTCCATGTTTGCGCTAGAAGTAAGGTGTGATAGGGCGTCTGCTTGCACTTTTGAGGTTCTTGGGATGTGCTCGACCTTGGTTGTGAATTTCGCCATCTGTTGCTTAACAAATGCCAGATAAGGCACCAACCGAGGTTCTTTCACCTCTTAGCTGCCGAGGACTTGGTTGACCAGCAGTTGGGAGTCCGAGAAGACGTTCAGGTGAGTCAAGTTCATCGTTTCTGCAAGGCCCAAGCCGGACAGTAGGGCCTCGTATTCGGCCTCGTTGTTGGTGGCCGGGAAAAGAAATTGAACTGAGTGGCAATATACTCGCTGTTCCGGGTCAATTAGGACCACACCTCCTCCAGCCCTACTCGCTTTGGACGACCCATCGACGTACATCACCCATGGTCGGTCGTCGACGGTCTCTCGGATGGCGGGGGTAAACTCGACAATGAAATCTGATAATACCTATCCCTTGATGGCCGTACGAGGTATGTAATGTACGTCGAACTATCCCAACTCTATGGCCCATTTGATCATTCGGCCCGAAGTGTCAGGCCTATGTAGGACTTGTATCAGAGGGTGGCCCGTCAAGTACAACATTTCATCGGGTCTCGGTTTTTGCAAGACCAGAGGTTGAGTCAACGTCACTTTGATATTGTCTAACGCTTTCTGACACTCTTCGGTCCATTCGAAGTTCTTCCCTTTCTTGATAGCGTCGAAGAATGGCTTACAGCGGTCGGTTGACTTCGAGATGAATCGATTCAAGGCCGCCAACCTCCCAGTCAGGCTCTGTACCCCTTTGACCGTGGTGGGGAGTCTAAGGTCGAGTATAGCTTTAATCTTGGCGGGGTTCGCTTCTATTCTCTTATGGCTGACCATGTAGCCCAGGAATTTTCCCGACTTTACCCCAAAGGTACAATTTTTCGGGTTCAACACCATCGAATAATCACGCAAGATTTTAAACATTTCATTCAAAGGAGTTACATGATCACTTGCGTTTACCGAATTCACTAGCAAAGCGTCTACATACACTTCCATAGTTTGCCCTATCAACCTAGAAAACATCTTATTAACCAACCGTTGATATCTGGCCCCGGCGTTCTTCAATCTGAAGGACATCATCGTATAGCAATACAAGCCTCGAGCCGAGTAGAAAGAGGTGTGCTCCGCTTCTTCCGGGTCCATCGGGATCTGGTTGTAGCCCGAGTACTCGTCCATAAAGCTCATGAGTTCATGGCCCGAGGTTGCATCAACCATGTAGTCAATGTGTGGCAAGGGGTAGCTGTCTTTCGGGTAAGCTTTGTTGAGTTCGGAGAAGTCTATACACAGACGCCATGAGCCATTGGTCTTTTTAACCAAGACGGGGTTGGACACCCAAGTTGGGTATTTGGTTTCCTTGACGAACTTGTTGTCGACGAGTTTGTTCAATTCCTCCTCAAGGTCTTGTTGTCGGTCTGAACTGAGCTTCCTTCTCTTCTGAATGACTGGTTTTACCGTCTTGTCGATGTTGAGCCGATGACAAGCGACAGTTGGGTCGATCCCTTTCATGTCCTCATGTTTCCAAGCGAAGACGTCGGAATTTTCACGAAGGAATTGTATCAGTTCGGTCCTGAGCGGTTCAGGCAGGCGTGCTCCAATACGGAGTTGTTTGTTGCAAGTTGGCTTGCCAATGCTAATGATTTCCACTTCTTCAGAAGGTTCAGCTCGGTTGCCTCCTCTCTCTTTCTTGAATTGACCTCGGGGATCGATGAAGTCGTCCTCCTTGGTAGGCTCTTTCCCTGGTCGTCTCCCTCGGTCTCGGGTCTTTTCTTCTTCGTCCGAATCGGTGGTTGCTCACTCGCTTGGCGACCTCAGTTTTTGTTTGCCTGGATATCAGCTCCTTCCACCACGTGGATTTCTCGCAATTGAATCTCCAAGAACAACTCCCTGGCTTCTCTCTGTTCTCCGTAGTGGGCTCTTTCTCCATCTGCCGTGGGGAATTTTATGGCATAGTGAAAGATGGAAACCGCGGCTCGGAGCTTGTACAACGTCGTCCTTCCGATGATCACATTGTATTTGTTATCCAAATCCATCACTTTGAAGGTCTCCATAATGACTTTGGACGTCTGTCCGTGTCCCCCAAATCCGATGGGAAGAGATATTTCTCCCAATGGGAGTGTTATGCTTCCATTGAAGCCGTGAACGCGGTCGTTGCAGGGACGGACTTCGGATGGGTCGATTCTGAGCTTGTTGAACGCTTTGAGCATGAGTATGCTCGTGTAGGCCCCAGTATCCACCATGATCCGGTGAACAGGGATGCCGCAGATGGGGGCTGTAATTATGAGCGCGTCTGAATGCGAATGGTCGAACAGGTTTGCGTCTTCCAACGTGAAGGTGATGGGGCAGGTGCGGGCGTTGATCGTCTCTCTGAGGTCCGAGGTCATCACCTGCTTCCCCGAGTTGTAGGCCATTCGTGCGTACGCTTTGGCTTGTCTCCTGGAGGAATTTTGCACATCTCGGTTAGTATTAACTCGGGGAATGGAACTTGAACGTTCCGACGTTTACAGCGTCAGGTCGCATCGCGGCTGAGAGTCAGCTTCTCGGCTCCTTTTTCTAAGTCGGTCTCGGGACGAGTCGTTGTCGGGAGATCCGAGCATAAAAAATTCTTTGTCTCCTTGCGCCCGAAGCCTTTTGAAATTTGGCCCACCTTCGTCTCCCTCATCATCATCAGGGATCTCATGCGTCCTCCGCTTTCCCTTGTTATCGCCGACCTTCGTGAACTTCCTCACCTTCGGGTTGCCGATGAGCTTCATCAATGCCGACAACAGACTAAAACACTCGTCCGTGTTATGGCCCAGCGACCGGTGATAATCACAGTATCTGGCTTTGTCGAGTTGGTTCTCCAGGTTTTCACTGGTCGGGCGTCTCGGATGATTCCCTTTCTCTTTATTTCTTCGTAAATGGCAGCTGCCCCGACCGAGTAAATGGATCGGTATCCTGCCTTCAAATCTTCTCGATATTGTTTCCGAGCTGCTCGCACCTCGGGATAGTTCGGATCTCCCCACCTCGGGTCCGCAGAGGGGGTCTTTTTGGATGAGTTGCCAAAGGACTTTTTCTTCTTCTCCGACGTCGGCTTCTGTCCCTGGGAGGTGAATGTGAGGTCAGGGACCGACATGCTTTCTTCGGCAATCACGTGGTTCTGCGCTCGGATTAAGAATTCCTGAAACGTGCTGGGCTTGTTTTGGCAAAGTGCCCACCTGAACATCGACTTGGATTTCAGCCCGGAGATGGCACTCAAGAGGAGAGTTTCAGGATGGCACGGTTCTATGTTATGTACGCGTTCGTTGAAGCGTGCGACGTACTCTTTCAAGCTTTTGTCGTCCTTTTGGACGATGTTGGTTATTGACTCTTTTGGAATTAGGTAGACCTGTGCTCCAATGAAGTGGGAGTGGAAGGTCGACCTGAGTTGGCCCCAACGTCGGATGGACTGTGTCGGTAACGAATAATACCATTTCTGGGCTTTTGGCCCCAGAGTTAGGGAGAACATGCGGCACCTGAGAGCGTCAGTGGCCCCGTGCAGGTCCATCCACGAGATATAGTGGCCGAAATGGGCGTCGGGATCCGACGTTCCGTCATAGAGGTCGATTTGTGAGACTTTGATTTTTCTGGGTAGTGGCTCTAAAGTCAACTCGGGAGACAGCGGGGAATCCGTTTCCACGTACACATGGCCAGTCTCTTGAGTGTGTGGGTTGGGGGGTGACCTTGCCCTTCTGGCTTGCAAAGTTTCAAGCTCTTCGACCCTTCTTCTCAGGGCTTCCATTTCGGGGTTATCGCGTCTAGTTGTTCGGCCCCTTTCTATTTGATGTCAGAGGTCGGCCAAATTTCCCGTTAGCCTGAATAGGGGTCGGGCGACGGCAGTTTCTCTTCGGGCATGCCCGGATTGACTCTCCGTACTTTGTTAATGTGTACTAGAAAATTCCTCAGAGTGAGTTAGGGAAATTTTCGAATTATTTGGCTCGTCCGGATTGTTCATTGTTATTAATGGAATAATATCATATGAACAATTGGTAGATGTGATTTACGAAAATGGTGGATTTCGTGACAGTTGGACAATTTCGAATATTACTTTCAATGGTCAAACAACCATATAGTTCGTTTATTCCCGCAAGACTGAATAATGATAGTGCTCTTTCGTGGATTTACTACTTTCCTCCTATGTCCTTTGTGTTTTTGTATATAGTGTTGGAAGCAAACACACAGGTTACACAGGTTGAGGATCCTACGGCATCATATGGTTACGGGGGAGTGTTTGGTGGTGAGGGTACGTGGACTACGCATGCCGGTAATTTTGGTGAAGAGACGCGTAATTTCGGCGGAGGGACAAGTAATTTCGGTGAAGGGACGTGCTTTACCATGAGAGGACCGGACATTGAGGAAGAAATTGTTGGAGATGAAGATTTCAGTCCCTGTGAAGACGATTTCACAGATGAGATCTTTGAAACCGAATCAGACAGATCAATTAGTGAGGAGAGCGAACAAGAATTCATTGAAGAACACCCCTTTCCAAATGAAGGCCTCCACGTATATCGCGAGATGGGTGAGTGGGACTCGTCGTGTGTAGACAGGGACGAGTATGCCTTGCCACTCTGCGATGGTCATGTCGAGACTATCCGTTTGGGTACAGTTTTTCGTACCAAGGAAGAAGACCAGACTGGTGTTCTGGCCTGGTATGTTGAGAATCTTAGGGCGGTCTGGACAAAAGATTCCAGCAAGAAGTCGTTCAAAGTTGTGTGCAGATCATCTGAAGTCGTACCATGTATATGGAAGGCTCAGTGAGTCTTAACAAACGGGTGCACGACATTTGGGAGGTAAATGAATGGACTGATAGTCACACTTCCATGCAAGTGGTCGAGAGAAATGACCACAAGAATGTGACCGCCACCATGATCTCAAATCTTCTGTTGGCTAAGATTCAGAAGCAGGCCTACAGGGTAGAAATGGTCCAGGCGACGTAAAAAGCGTCTGGAGCGTTGACGTGAGCTACAAGAAGGCATGGCACGGGAGAAAAAAAGCCATCAATCGTCTGTATGGCACGTGGGAATCGAACTTCGCACAACTTCCCCAATAAGAAAAAATTAATTATAAATGTATTTACGTGTTGTTTGCAACTACATTTATTTATTTATTTATGGTTACCTTTTTATAATTTTTAGGTTTTTTGCCGCCCTTCGAAGGGCGAATCCCGGCACAGTCGTTGAGTGGAAATGACAGGATCGGGAAATGGCTCGTCATTTTCGATAAAATGCCTAAAAAAGATTGTTGTACATATTTGAGGTATAATGACTTGAACCCTTCTCCATAAGCTTAGATACAATTATTAGTGAGTTATAAAAATGTGATTTGATGATTTGTGTGAGATTTGATTTTATGTGGATTTTACGAGCTTGAAGCGGCTAATTTTTTATCTCGGTTTATATAAGTGATAAAATGGTGATTTAAATTTTATAAATCATGTTAAATTGCCTTGAGTCTTAGGTGCCAATGAAAGCATGTTATTCGATATTAGTTGGATTTGTGTACATTTAGTTGGACTTGAGAATGAAAGCATTTTTTTATATTTATGATGCTTACAAATAATATAATGATTGTTTTTTTTAATTTTTTTGTAGAAACGGCATCATCGTCGTCCTCACAGCCGCAACGCTACAATGTGCATCCCAGTCCAAGGGATCCATCCTGATATAGAATATTATACCCACAAGGGTAAACCGGTTTTCTGAGGAAATCGAGCAGTTAACCAGTCGACCAGCAAAGCAGTCGACCAATCTATCCTTCGACCAGATTAACGGTCGAGCAGTTCAGTCGACCCCGACCGGTCGACCACTTCGTGGGCTTAACACATCGTAGATCGGCCTAGTCACAGGCGCGTGAAAGAGCCTCTAACGGAATTTCAGAAGAATATTCATCCCATGTGCAGGAGGACACGTGTCGAGAACTTATTGGGTGATAGCGACAACCACTTCTGATAGCTCCCAACGCCTCGTGCCACCTCTGACATACGCGCTGTGTGTCAGAGTACGGACGGGCAGCTTAGGCAGCCAGCTCACCTTATCCGGGCAGTTATTAGGGCAGGTATCTCACCCCTATATAAAGGGGGTGAGCCTTTCTCCCTTAACACGATTTTTCCATTGTTCACTTCAGTATACTCATACACATACTGACTTAAGCATCGGAGGCTCTTCACCGGACACAACCCCCGGTGTGAGAGTTACTTACAGGTTTCCGATGTTCTACCGACGAGGACGAGAATTGA